CTGCCATCGCCGGCCGGTGCGCGGGGCTGGTCGTGTGCTGGTCCGCGTATTTCCGTCCCTCTGCTATGCCTACCCCCCGCCACCTCCCCCCTCCCGAGTGACAGCGGGCCCAGGTGGAGCTGCGGCTGGGCTGCACGCCTGAGAGGCACGCCGAATGCACGCTGGACGGGATAATTTAGACCCCCCCTCCCCCCACCTCGCCAAATCGGTTTGCGAGGCCCCCGCGCCCCGCGGCCGACAACACCCCGCGCCGGCGAGGCAGGTCGGCGACGTCCTCGTCGACATGATGTATTCTGGGTGCGTGGCCGGGGCGGCGGGGCGCGGAGGCGCGGGGTCCACGACGCGGGCCGAGCCAGCGGCGCCGCCCGGGGCGCCGGGCTAGCCGTGGACTAGTTCGAGGCGAGCCGCCATCACTGCGCGTGTCGACGACGCGCTCCCCTTGGCCGCGGCGGACATCGGCGATCTGGACGTCTGCGACGACGACGCCGGCGACGCCCGCGCGCTCGTGCAGTATAGTGGCCCACCGCGACACCGTGTCATGACGCCGACGAGACGCGACTGACGGCATCCGGGAGACGACGGTCACCGCCGTCGCCATGACGGCCTGCTCGCCGAGGCCGCGGCTGTCGTCCGCGGCCTGCCTCGTCCTGCTGCTGGCGGCGGCCTCCTGGTGCGGCGCGGGCGCGCAGTACGTGCAGCTGCCGTACGGGCAGGAGGGCCAGGGGCAGCAGGGGCAGGACGACACCGTCGAAGAGCCCCCGCACTCGCCCGACACGCTGCACCTGGGTGAGCACGAGCACCGACGGCAGCGTATGTCCGTGCAAACTGCAGACCCACCAAACCCCGACGAGCAACCACTAGATTTTAGCATTAGAAATCACTAAAAAAAAAAACAAAAAAAAACAACAACAACCAACTAGTACAGACGCAAATTCGCGGCTCTTGTCGAGACCAGTATACAACTGCACATCCATGTGCGTATCTTTCTCGGTATAACTAGGACACCGTTGTTTGGTGTTGTTGTTGTTGTTGTTGTTGTTGTTGTTTTCTTTTTTTTCTTTTTTGTGTCTGTTTTTTTTTTTGAAGCTCGGCACCTGCCTGGCGCGTTAACTGTCTCTCTGGTTGAGCATTCCGGTCACCAGCCCGTTTGCATGCCGCACAGGGAGTATTTACATCTCGCGCGCGTGTCCGTGCGTGCGTGCGCGCGTGTGTGTGTGTTGTGGGGGGGGGGGGGGTGTTTTTTTGTGTCTGTTTTTTTCTTTTCTCCTCGGCACCTGCCTGGCGCGTTAACTGTCTCTCTGGTTGAGCATTCCGGTCACCAGCCCGTTTGCATGCCGCAGTTGCTGACTCGTCGCGCGGCCTTTCCTTTACGGCGCCCCTATACTACTCCTTCCTAAAGAGGGAGCAGCGGGGGGCGCACAATGTTGCATGAATGACGCAGGCGACACGTGTGAGGATCGTGACGACCGGCGGGGCGGGCGG